AGTAAGCTTCCACTAAACCTGAGATAAACTAGATATAAATTCCACTAAATACATATCTTCTTGTAGGTATCGAAATAAATAATTTATTTGAGCCAAGCCAAATATAGTAAAATCAAGAGATTACTTTTTTCTGTGTAGTGTAAGCGATAAAAATTCTCCGCCTCTGAAATCTGCCGCCCTAGGCAGCTGTCTACCTTGCCTACCCGGTAAATCCGCCACTGACCCAAGTAGTATTTTAATTAAAATAGTTGAGGTTTGCGGATATATTACTTAATTAAACCTTAAAAACTGTCATCAAAGTAAAAAAATTTCTCAAGTATTATTAATTTTATTTATAGTTTTTATTATGATTTTTTTACTTTTTTTAATAACCATTAAGTTTTACAAGTATTTTAATGATGTTTATGTTTTTTATGATATTTAGGTTTTTATTTCAAATGATTTTTAATGGTAACTTTAACGTATATTAAGAACCACTTTATAACCGTAAATAATTCATATTTGCCTGGGAACTTTTTAAGGATTAAAGTGGTATAAAAACCATCGACTTAAAGAAAAAATTCTCCATTATAAATTAAAAAAGATGTCATCCAGTAAATAAAATTCATGTAATCATGTTTTCTAAATACTTTAGAACAAATAAAATAAAATTACTTTTATATAGCTAAATTATATTTTAAAACATAACGAATAATTCGCCATATTAGTTGTAACAATAGTAATATAATATATAAATTGTCCTTGATCATTGCTAAAAACATTGAACTTACTAATTAAAATAAGAATAGAAATTAGTTAAAATTAACAACATGTATATTGTATCCAGCATTTATTTATTTAAAATTAATTACCACTAAACATTACTTGGCTTTGTTACTTTAAAATATTGCCAAATGTAATATATGTATATAGGTACTGTGACAAAAAATGAAAATAAACAATTTTTATATTCACATGCTGGATGATTTTACATTATCAAATAAAAAATGTTTTGGCTAAAATTTAAGTTAAATAACTACCAATAATATTTTTATTTATATTGTATATGCATTGCCAAAAATGCCCACCAAATTGATATTTTTAGACTTAAAATGTAAATAAAAAATATTTACCTTCACTGTTAAAAAAAAAATGGTAAATTTACTTAATGTTTACTATTAAAAATTATAGTAAAATTAAAAATCTAAGCTTCGAGATGGACAATTACCATACTGATTCAAACAAAATCAACCTGTAAAAAGTTTATGAAAAATACAATACGACTTTGTTTGTTGTAAATTTACATCAACTGGTAAAAGTAATATTTCTTATACGGTTAGGCTTAAAATTTATATACAGGCTTTAATTATAATCATGTTAATATTTATACTAAATAATAAATCAATGTGTACCAACAGTGTACCAACAAAAGCAATAATTTATAACACTAATATAGTAAACCTTATAAATTGTAATTTTAAAAAGTATTGTGTGGTTTCTCAAAAAATTACTCAATAAAGGGATTTTTTGAAAACCACAAAATACTTTTTTTAAATAATGTTATATTAGGTGTACGTAAATAGACAAGCTTTTATAACTTAATTTAAGTAAATATGATGGTAAATTAACTTTAAAAACTTTAACATTAATAGAAAAAAAAAACTTTATTAATTTTTTTTAATTGGCAACCATGGAGTTTTACAACTGCCAAGTATGCATTTTTACTCTAAACTAAATTTTACTTATAAATTATATTTTTACTATATATACTCGTATATTGTACTTTTAATGTATACATATATATTTACTATATATTATAAGTTTTAATTTAAAACCACTTTATAACCAACCAATATAATTTTTATTTGTCTGGGAACCTTTTAAGTGGTAAAAAAGTATAGTTTAATATTTTAATAATATATATTAGTAATATATTAATAATGAGTTATAAAATTATCTTCAAGTTAAAAAAAACTAATAGAGTGATATTTTTATAAAACGACATATTAAACTATTAAAAATATTTTCCAATATTTTATAAAATAAAAATTTATAAAATCGTTTTTTACAAATATTTCTATTCTTCAAATTATTTATTACGAAGTTAAATGATTTCATAAGGCTCTCTCTGTATACTATAATAAGTCTTTTAGATTTATTAATTATGTAGGTACAATTTTTTATTTTAACACCAAAATATTTAAAGGGCCATTTTCCAATCCCGGGACATTCGGGACCAAAGGTAACCAGTCCCGGGATCCAGAAAAAATATATATCATTAATTTTAAAATAAAGGAACAAACAAACTAACGAACGATATATTTCGGAATTTCCACTAGTTGGAGGAATGGTTTTTAAGAATTCTTAGGCATATTGTACCACGTTTACCCCCATTAACAAATAATTCCATTTCTTTTATCAATCGGGCTTATCGAGTTTGTGACATTTTTTCAGGTTTCAAGTTTGAAATATGATATTATAGGTTATGTACATGAATTTATTCTACAGAGACCTATAATTTAACATTTTCTCTGCTGATTTTATGCTAAACGATAGATGGAACCACTCTTGATATATAATTTCAATGTATTTTCATTATTGTACGACAGTGTTTAATATTTTGACTTTTCAACTGCGTACAAAAATTAGTGTCCAGATTCTGTCAAAAAATAAGGGGAAATTTTGTGTAAATTAAACTTAATTATAAAAATGACACAATCAACAATAATAAGGTAACGCCAAATTTACAATTTGCATTGTGTCAATTTTGTAATTAAGGTAAATTCATACAAAATGTCCCCCACAGAATGATGTCTATGATCATTTGATGTCTATGATGTCCCCCTATTTTTTGACAAAATCTGGTCCCTTTAGCTTATGAGTATTATAATATGAAAATTGCCATACGCTTTAAAAAAAAAGTATATTTTATTCTTTCTAACCTATTACTACGATCCCGGGATTGGGACTTTTGATCCCGGGATTTTCTGGATCGGATTTTTTACGGGATCCCGGGGCCCCGGGATTTCGGTATCCCGGGATTGACATGGAGTAGGTACCTATACCATTTTTAAATATATGTAAATTAAAGAGACAAAAAATATAAATATAGATTTAAAAAGAGAGAATAGACAAGGAGTTATTTTTACTTAAAATGTGGTATTTAATTTATTTTTTTATTACTCTTTTGGTAGTTGGCTATTTATGATGTAGTAAAAATAACGTCATAAAACCATTTTATATTTGCTAATTTTTTAAATTTGTACTGTTATTTTACCGTTTTCGTTTACTGTAAAAATTACTTATAATTAAACTTATAATGTAGTTATAATAACTTAAAATGCTTTTTGGAAATTAGATGTACATAAATAAATAATTTTAGATGTTACTTTAATGTATAAAATATCGTTTAAATTTAAACTTAACACCTGCGCAAACAATTGAAATTTCTTGCTGAAAAAATATAAAAATTAAATAGATAACGAAAACTAAAATCATCAATTTTTAACTTAACCTTGCAAAACATTTGAAGGAATATAAAAGAAAACTGTATTTTACCAGTGGTGGAAAGGATCAATATTTTCTACCTGCTCTAGGTAATAAGGTGATACAATAAATCCTGGCGTTAAACTTTCCACATAATACCTTAGAGTAAAATGGGGAAAAATGACGCAGGGTTAAATTTTTATAAAAAGAACAAACTATAAAAAATAAAGTTTGATTTTGGTCAAAAATAAAAATATTAACAGTTGGTTCTTTATAGGGTTTACCTAATCTAAATTTTGCACTTTGGAATAAAAAAGGAAGTATTATTTTGCCCCATTCGGATTTTTAACCCACTTAACTCTACACTACTAAAAATAAAGAAGGTATTCTAAGATTACTATTTCTATGGATTATTCTGGAAACTTTTAAAATTTCTTCCCGGAATCAATGCTATATTTTTGAACTTATATATAAGTATACTTATAACTATTAAAAACAATTATTATTGAAAAAAGAATTTTTAATTTTATATAATATAATAAATAATAAAAATTAAAATTATAGTTTTAACTAGAATAATTAAGCAGTGTAAATTTGCTTCTTGCATAACCAATTAACAAATGACTTCTAAATCAAAATCTATTTTTACCTATATATTAACGAAACTTTTCGAAACAATAAAAAAGAATTAGATGATTAATTCCTAAAAAATATAAGTTTTCAGTTTACCTAGCATTGAAGTCACCATTGCCCATATATTACACCTATTATAATTATAATTATCGGTACCTCCGTATTGAACCTTATTTGTATTAAATTAGTAAAGTTTATGACTTATATTTAATAAAATTTATAGGGTGTCCCGTAACCCGAGTAAAAGTTTATTTAATATTTTTTTGTTAGTCTTTATTGTTAAATCACTCTAAATTTTTACTATGTAATTTTATTTCACTCCTTTTATATTGATTACTTTAAAAAATTTAAGTAAAAATACATTTTAAAAACCTTATAACTCAAATAATTGCTTATAATTAAAATATGGCGAAAGTGCAACACCCTGTATATAGTAGGTATACATATTTTTGTTATATTGGTAGATGAATAGGTTGTTCAAAATTATTAGTATAGTGTGAATTATAATTTACGGTTAAGTACTATACTATATACCTATACTACTATATGCCATGTATAGTAAATTATTTTATTTTATTTTATCTAGTTCAAAATTGTATATTTTATCTAGATTTTTTAAGTATTAAATAAGTAATTTTATTATTCTTTAAAATATGTATGCAATTGACTAAATAATTTGAATATTTCAAAGAATTCTATCTATTGTGTAGTTTTGTCGAAAATTAATTTTTTAAATTTATTAATTGTTTTGACATATTTTGTAAAAAGCAATATTATTATTAATTAAAAAGTTTGTTTAAAGCCTAATTGACGGATTCATTGAAGCTTTTCTTTAAAACCGTGACGTAGATCCCCCCCTTATAAGCGTAGTTCCTTGGTGGGGGACTCTTAAACCTATTTCACTCTATTGCACGCGAGCATTAGGCGTTTCGCTCTTTGAGAATTAACAACAAGCTGGTGAAATAGTGTGTGTTTTGTTACAAAAATAAGCAACATGTCCAGAAAAAGTGGAGAATCGAAACCCCTGCACGGGGGTTATAAGGTAATTAATCTTGTTTTATGTAAGAAGGCGCCGCAATTTTAAACAATTGAAAGCCTGCCAACATTGTGTTTATATACACCACTAGGAATACCAACATTCCAATATTTTTTTTTAAGTAGGCATTTGCCTGATCTAATGCAACGTGTGGGTTAAAAGTAAATTTTCGTATATTTATAGGTGCATGTTTTTTAAAATTAAAATTATTTTCTACGTTGAAATTTGCTATTTTAACAACAGGAAACTGTTAAAATATGATTTTTAATAACACGAGGAAGCGGTTTTTGCTATTATCGGCGCGATAATGTACAGGACGTCCACGTTTCAAAACTTGCAAATATTCAGTATACCGACCGCACGTTGGATTCGTGACGTCATGGAAAATTTTCAACAGCCTTCCTTAAGCAGCCGGTTTACAGTCAGAACTTTTTATTGAACATTTGGACAGCGGTTTCATTTAAACCAATTGCTCACATTAATCCATATCAAACTTAATCGTTTTAATGGCTAAATTAAACCATTATGCAAAAATTAACAATCTATTGTTTTAATTGTTTATTTTTCGGGGTTATAGTCCATGTATTGTGTTAGTGTTAACTTTTATTCTTTTATTTACTAATTAAAGCACGACAGCTAAAAAATTAAAAGCTTTTTAATTTAACTATCTCCTACATGCTTATCTTGATAACAATACATTATTATGTATTATCTATTAGCAAAAAATTTCGTAGAAATTTAATGATTAAACACAGAAACACAAAATTTTTCCAGAATAATAATGAGGTAGCAGAAATGTGTGCAACATTTGCTAAATGCAAATAAATTTGGCAACATGTTTATATAAAAACGTTAAAACATTACGCAATGTACGCTTGAAATTTGCAAAAAAAAATAGGAATAGCATAGGTACACATCAATTTGTAATGTAGACACATGTGGAATATTTTTTATTTTATATTACATGTTGCAATATTTATTTATCCTCTATGATAATACATTTTTTGATTTATTGTTGATATTTGGCAAGTTCTCGTGATTCGGCGCTTATAACATTAAATTTGCAATTGCAACAAAACTTAATTTATCCAATGAATCACAATGACAATCATATTCTTCCTGAATTAAAATTAACTTTCACAAATAAACATTTTTTCCTAGATTCGCTAGAACATTTTTTTGCTATTTTATCAGCCAACGTTGATGTACAAAGCTAAATTTTTAATGATCATTTTCATTAATATTAAACAATAAATGTTATTATCTTATAGTTTCCTGGACTTTGGATATTCGAATAACTAATTAACATTTAACAGTCACTTTTTAAATTCTAAGTCAGCTGGCACAGTTGCCATTTGGTTATACATATAGCAGTGGCGGCTGGAGGATTTTGGGTATACCGATATCTGAATTATTAGATATGGGACTCACACCAAATTTTTTTGAGTTTATAATGACATTAAATAAAGAAGTTCTGCGTAAGCAGAATTTAAATTAAAGTTTGCGAAAAAAAGATAACTTTTTGCTTGGCCGTACCGGCCCCATGGCGCCCCCAATATATATAATATAAATTTATTTGGCGCAATTTATTATTTACCATAGTTTAACGACAAATTTCAAATCTCATTTAAAAAATCCAAAATATACAGATTTTATACCATTTTAAATTTTTAATATTTGTTTTCAAAGAAATAATAAAAATTTAAAATGATATAAAATCTGTATGATTTTTTTAATAAAATTTGAAATTTGCCGATAAACTATGGTAAATTATAAATTGCACCAATTAAATTTATATTATATTTATTGGGGAAGCCATGGGACCGGTACGGCCGAGCAAAAATTTATCTTTTTTTCGCAAACTTCAATTTAAATTCTGCTTGCGCAAAACTTGTTTACTTAATGTCATTATAAACTTATATAAATTTGGTGTGGGTCCCATATCTAATAACTGAGATATCGGTATACCCAAAATCCACCAGCCGCCACTGACATATAGGAAGTTTCTGGAAAAACCGGTCTGCTAGTCTTTACAGACAAATATCCGAAGCCAATATATTTAATTAATTAATTAACCAAAGTTTCGACTATGAGTGCAGGTTCGGATTTTCCTCCACCTATATATTAGATAGATTATAATCTGATCTGATCTGACCGAAAATTTAGATATTGATTTAACTATCGCATATTGTACATCTGCTTTTTTAAACAATATGAAAAGTAAGAAAAGTCACTTAAAATAAGTGAAGTTCTTCTTAATTTAAATTCTGAAAATCTGACAAATAAGAAATCATAAAAATAAATAAATTAAAGCATTTGTTCAATTCACTAAATTTATTTTTTTCCTGAAACTTAAAATAAAGTCCAAACGTAATTATCACAGTCATAAAATGCGCGTTAAAATAGTTTGCAAAAAAGTAAAAAGGCGTAACAAAGAGTAGGTTGGTACTAACTAATTCAAAATCACTTATCTCTGCTCACATGTCTACGGTTACTGCGGTCACGAGATTTGAAAATTTTAGCCACGACTTGAAATATAAATAGAACGACGCTACATTCTTTCTTGGCACATACGCTGTACTTATATTTTAGCAATAAATTACTTTTAGCACCATTTGTAAAGACCCGTTTTTTCTTCCTCTTTCAAAACGACTACTATTACGCAAATATGTTATGCAAAATCTTAAAAAAAACTAGTTTGGAATGCTAAACAGCTCTAAAAATTAAGGTAAAATACAAAAGTTTCAGGTTTACACATTTGGCTAAAAGTTAGCATAACACATAAATAATTAACTAAAATAAAAATCAGAGACTTACTTAAAAACATTTAAAAATAATACATAATACATTTAATACCTAGTTAATTGCAAAAATCTTCAGACTACATATACAGGGTGCAAAGATAAAGAAGGTTGTTCCGAAAATGGTGCACCCCTCTATACCACGTTAAAGGGGGGATTATTATTATCAAAAAATTATCTACGATATTTGATTGTTTAAAAGGTTTAAACATAATTCTAATAACGTTTTAAAAATAAAAAGTTAAACTTTTTTTATAAAAACAAAGTTACAGATAAACAAAAACTGTCAGAAAATACGCCTGTCAACTATAGCTGCTAAATGCCTTGTTTATTTTGTTTCCTTCACAACCCTTTTTATAAGAAGGCAAAAAAATAAAATGTTTTTATTACTTAAAATAACACCCTTTACAACGTGAGTGCGCCATTTTCGGGACAAAAACCCTTCTGTTTTTTATCTAGGTACCCATTAAAAATAAAATTTTGTGCCAAGAACAAATAAAAACAAATTTGTTTGCAAAATTTCTAACATATTTAATAAAGATTAATTTAATACCTATATATGTTAATGTTAGTCAATTTGAAAGTTTCAAGGACAAATATATTTGACTTGGTTTAGGTTTCCGGTTTGTTATTTTTACAATTATACTTTGATAGTTAAACTCCATGCTGAAACAACGTAAGTAAGCGCCAGAATAGTATATTCTCTAAGTTTAGAATACAGCATATTCCGCTTGAGTGAAAAGTTTGTCACACGAGCCGAAGGCGAGTTTGACGATTTCGCGAAAGCAATCCCAAACGTGTTTCAAACTATACTTTTTTTGCGCTTATGAAATAAGTAAATAAATATGATGTAGGAGAAAGTAAAGCTGGGTTCTAACAGAGAAATAACGTAATATAATTTAATTTAACTTTAAAAGTAATTTAATTTACTTGCGTTCATACAAAAAGTAACGTAATTTAATAGTGTTTGAAAATAAAAACAATATTTTAAAGAGATTGCTTACTTAATGTATCTAAAACTTAAAGTTTTAGATATATATGGTTTACTTTGGTAATTACAATCGAAATATTTGTCTTATTATTAAAACCGTTTACACAAAATAGGTTAGATTCTCCCAAAATAGGTTAGATAATACGAAATAACCTTGAAATAACGTAATTTAATTTAAAAGATAAAAGTTGGCCAACTATTAAATTAAGTTTTAAATTACATCACTGTATGAACGTTACAAAGGATTGTTGGGTTTTTAACTTTCAAGTTAAATTAAATTACATCTTAAATTAAATTACTTTTCTGTTAGAACCAGGCTTAACATTAAAAAGGTCTGACAGATGTTATTTGATTTAAGAATTAGTTAGTTTTGTACCACCCGATTGGTCCAAATTATTCTTACATTGAACCACCTTAAATTTCACAATTAAGAGTGGTATTAGAACGATCATATTCCTTAATGGAAGAACAATGGAGAAAAACTTTTTGTCATATCGTCGCGACGCGTCTGCAATACTACATGGTTGTATGTGAGTTTTTTTAATGAAATACCCCACATATTTTTTGAAATAGGTACCTAAATAGAAAAACTTTTTTCCAATTGCAGTGGCTTTGTGCGTATGGTACAAATTTATATAATTATAATACAGAATGTACCAAGTATCCTTTTCTTTTTATTTGACGAGGGTTGTTAAATAATTTGAAAAAAACTTAAAAATCGTTAGTAACATACGCATACGCATTTATCCACATTTTCATCCATTTTTTACGCCTGCTAGATTTTGAGATACCACTACCATCTTTTGTTTTTCCTATGGCCGAAATATACGCTAAAGAAGAATCGCTAGTGTCGTCAACACGTGACTGTCATCATCGTAACAAAACTACTGCTTTTAATATGCAGCTATCAGACGCGTATGTTACAAACGAATGTTTTTGAGAAAAAAGGCAAAAATGTTGAAAATATCGAAAAAAAAACTATGAAACAATTTGTTGTGATGTTGGGTGTTTTTCGAGAGTAAATCCGGAGTTGATGTATACAATATATTGTGATGCATTGACTGCGATTTTTATTCTTCGAGAAAGTGAAAACCGAAGATTACAATTAAATTATAATAGGTTAAGTTATCATTAGGTAATTCTGCACTAGCCAGGCCCGTAGCCAGCCGTAGGGCCCGACGGGCCCGGGCCCCCCCCGAAATTCAGTGAACCCT